TCATGTTGCACTAAAAGCACAGGTCTTGACCTCAAAGGGGCCTATTTCAGGTGAAATTACATTCTTGGCACAGCTTAATTTTGACACCAAGTAAGTGTTTAAAAGTCAGTATTCAAAAATCTTCAAAAGTAGTTATTCACATCTCATTCACTGCAAATATATATAAAACATCCACTTTCACTCTTCATCCACATGGTCATCAATCTCAGAATCAGTTTCTGAATCACTGTCAAGAACTGCAGCATTCAACCATGTATCACTAGAGTTGCTGGAAACAGGCATATTGTCTTGGTGTCTGCCATACCCAGATCTTCTCTCAACTGAAAACAGATGACTTTATATCAAAAGAAAATCCTGTTTTAAAACTTTGATATTATAAATCTATACAAGGGTAACATTACTTATTTATTTTCAAATGTCAGTAGTCTGGCCTTGAAGGCTTATGCAGATTTAATCACCACTGAGACATCAGTATTTCTGAAATTCTGTCACATTAAATAAGAAAATTGAAGAAAAAAATTTATTATTTTTAGCACTCACACTATTCTTACCTTCCACCTCAAGTTTTAAGTTGTCATCTTCATGAAATGACACTCCTGAAATCAGTCCAAGCAAATTTCTCTTATCTGAAAACAAATATTTGAAATCATAAAAGAATTATCATTATGTTCAAGAAATTGGTGCTTTGTAATTTTCTAATGCTAAACATGTCAATAGGATAGTTATATAGGGAAGGGAATTGACCTCTAAAAGCATTATAAATTTGTTGAGGACACTTTTTGATCAATTATAGATATAAGATAAAAACGACTGTTAGAGCACTTGAAAACAAAGGTAATCAGTCCTCAGTTTCAATATGACAATTGAAACCAATAGTCATTGATTCTGTAAACATATTTTTAAGAAGAAATAGTGAACGCTTTAATTGATTATGTGATTGGTTATTGGTAATTGACTGGCAGCCCACAAAATATCCATAAACTAATTATTTGTTTGATCAGTGCACCACTAATTAACAGCTCTGGACAGTTTGTAAATATTTACTTACAGAAATTACCGTACTAACATTTTGAAACAATGCTTACCTTCTACAGATTCTTTATTGTGTGGGAACAAAGTGGAAAAGTCAGTGTCTTCAGGCTTAAACAAGATTTACATGATGTTAATTCAAGTTTGTTTGAACAGTGTAACTTACATTACCAAACTTAAGACATTTTTTTTACAAAATTTGTATTTCATGTGCACAAGTTTTGTCAGCCAATTTACAATGTTTAACTTAACCTTTGAAGAAGAAAAGAAGAAAAGAAAAAAACAATTAGGATTTGAACCTGAATGTCTGATAACAGAAAAAATTGAGAAGCCATCACTGTAACCACTAGGCTACAGATTCTACTGTTATTATTTGTCACTTTAAGCTTATATATACACTTTGCAACAATGTGTCACTTGACGTCTGCTTGCTTTTCATAATCTGCTAGACCTTGATACAATGTTCTTATTCTAACAATATTAAATGTAGCCTGATATATCCTAGAAAACATCAAGGTACATAATTTTTGTTAAAATGTGTATGTTTATACACTGTTACATCCAGTGGAATGCCAGTGTTATTTGACAGTGACAGGTGACACAGAGGGGTTTGCTAAACAGATGATAGAACAAATATGATAAAATTCTAGCATAATTACAAAGATTCTCACCTTTAGAATGCTGCCTGATCATATTTTGAAAAATCTTCTGATGTCTTCTTATTTTTCCAGCAGTGATCAACAGGGTCTCCAAAAAACTACCCTTGTTTACCTCAAAGTAATCAGCCTTGAGAGTCCCTTTTACGATATTGAAATTGTTTAATAAACATGTTTGATAAGTTCATTTTAGTGCTCTAAAACATTCAAAATAGTCATGAATCATGGTATAGTTGTGTAAATGTGACGGATAGTTTTCAGAGATATTACTTTACGCCAATGTTTATTTTGAGATGTTGTATGGGGCAATTTCATACAACTGAAAAAATGTACTTTTTAAACATTTTGATATGAGCAAAAGCGTGACCCACCACAATTTTTAGGAGTGCATTCTAATTTACTCTCTTCATGTGTGGTGAAAAATTGGGATGGGTCAAGCTTTTGCTCACACTTTTTTATCACTCTGAAAAATATGAAAATGCAGGTTTTTCGAAGATATTGTAAAATAGGTTAACTTTGAGGTCTTCAAAGAGGGAAAAAACAGCACTAAAACATATAAAAAAAACATATGGAGGTAATTTCAACAATTCATTTAGCATTTTTTATGCTAAAATTATCATGTTGTAGAACTTTGAATATCATGAAATTTTGTGGGCCAATAAGGGCCTTTATCATACCTTGTCCTTTGAGAATGGAATCGATAGAAATACGACGAAATACACCAGCAAGGCGCTCTGTCTGAAGGTGACGAAGATAAATGTACTGTATATACGTTAGACAAGTGAACACAGAGTCCGGTGTTCCGAAAACATAAATCACTGGACATCTGACGCCCTCACAACAACTTATATTTGTACCCATAGACAGATACAAGATGATTGTGTCAGACACAAGATGATTGTGACAGACACAAGATGATTGTGTCAGACACAAGATGATTGTGTCAGACACAAGATGATTGTCTTTTGCATGTATTGTACCTGGACTAAGTTGAATATTGTCAATATTTGTTTTAACTTCTTTCAGAGGCATGTTAGAAGCTGTATAGATGAAGGAAAACCAAGATCTATGGATAGTCAACTTCTTTATTGCAATGAGTGCGACGTTTCGGTGTAGGTACAAGTGATAACGGTTAGTACCTACATTGCACTAAAGAAGTTGACTATCCATAGAACTTGGTTTTCCTTATTATTTGTTCTATATAATAAATAACCCATCCATTGTAATGTCAAGGTTCTTCAACTTTGTTCCCTCAAACAGATAACACTCATTAACCAACTGGAATGTCAGTAAAATTAAGATTATATTTGAAATGCGTTATGAGGTTTTGCTTTGAAGTAAAGCTTATTTTGAGATTCTATTCAACAGTAAATCCTCACCATAGGTAAACGCCTAAATAAACTCTCGAAGAGCAAATTAGGGAATAGTTGAAGAACATGAATATGACACCGTTTTAAGGAGTTCTGTTCAGAAACATAAAGTCAGTTGAGGTGAGGTGAGGTGAATTTGGGTTTTACGTCGTGCTTGGGAATATTTCGCTCTAATGACGACGTGCATGCGTGTGTATGTGTATGTGCGGCTGCTTGTACTAGCCCAGACTTAAGCTGGTTTTATGGTGCTAGCCCACTGAGATACCATGCCGCAGTGAAGCATGAATACCCCACTCAAGACACATTATACTGACTCCGAGCCGACCAGGCCTTGTTGTACCCATTAATGCCGAGCGCCAGGCAGGGACCAACAAGTACCATATTTTAACGTCTTTTTGGTATGACGCGGTCGGGGATCGAACCCGCGACCTTCCGCTCTCCGGGCGGACGCTCTAACCACTACACCACGGAGGCGCGGTCCCAGTCAGTTGAAGCTGAATGTGAGATGATATTGGACCTACCCATGGAGAGCAGCGGGCTATCTGCTCATTAGTGGTGTTTACGAAGAGGCTTCTTCACAGATCAGGTAGTCTGACATTTATAGCATAACATATCACTGTACACCGAGTACATGACTATAGTATCATTTCTGTATATAAAATCAGATTATGTTTGCTTGTGGTCTTCAGCGACCCATGCTTGTCAAAAGAGGCGACTAATGGGATCGGGCGGTCAGGATTGGTTGACACATGTCATCGGTTCCCAATTGCGCAGATCGATGCTCATGCTGTTGATCACTGGGTTGTCTGGTCCAGACTCGATTATTTACAGACCGCCGCCATATAGCTGGAATATTGCTGAGTGCGGCGTAAAACTAAACTCACTCACTCATGAGAGGGGGCGTGGAACAGCAAACACTAAAACACACCCACGCCGTAATATTGCTAAAATGTTCATAAAACCATACTCACTCACCCACCAGCTCCCTGTGACTCCATGTCCATATTACCTTTTATGAGACACTCACTGATATGATGCATTTAATATTGACCATGATACCCGTATCGAACATGTCACTATAGAATAACATTACTGGAATATTGCTAAAAGCGGCATAAACTTATACTCACTCACTCACACACCCGTCCACTCACACACTCACTTACTCACTCTGGAATATAATATCTATAGAGGACGATACAATATAGAACCAGGCTATAGATCGCGAACAACTGAAGGTAGATCACCATACTTGGGACCATGGGGACTTACAGTACCTTTGCTACCTGCATGGACCCTAGTTGGATTTACACCATCCTTTCAGCCGCTGGCGAGTGAAGGAAAAGTTTAGCCAAATTTTGAAAGAACAAAATTACTACGTTTAAAAATCCGGTAAGCGCCAGTGGGAAGTCAGCTTATAATAGTGTTTGTGTACAGATTAACAACGAGAACTTCATTCAGGAGCATAAACAAGATTGTTTGATGAACAAGGGTGATAATTCATTGTATATACTTCGGTATCATCAGCATCGATGTACCCAATTGAGATACGATGACATGTGTCAACCAAGTCAGCGAGCCTGACCACCCGATCCAACTTTACTTGTATATCAGGGACGGTGGGGTAGCCTAGTAGTTAAAGCGTTCGCTCGTCACGCCGAAGACCTGGGTTCGATTTCCCCATGTTTACAACGTGTTATGGTGTCCCCCGCCGTGATATTGCTGGAATATTGCTAAATGCGGTGTAAAACTCAACTCACTCACTCCTGTATCGGCAATCACTTGAAAAAACAACACTTTAACATACTCTGAAATTTTCTTTTATCTACTTTATTGACGAATCAAACAAAACTTTCAAAAACGAAAAACTGTTCCAGTTAGAATTACCCGATGACATTTAAAGATTTGAACGCCTTTTACCAAGTGCACAACTCTCTATCATATTCAGAAGTCAAAATAGAGTTACTTCCCTTGGAACATTCCTCGATCATGGTTTCGCCTTCATAGCGATAGGAACGCAGTAATGTCCTCCCTATTTCAGCTGATGTGAGTATGGCCTGGTGAATGTTTCAGAAATGATAAAGTAGTAATAGACGTAACACAAGCTATAGTCCTCAAACATATGTGTGAGTGAATCCTTTCCTCGATGCAGCGCTGTTCGTGAATTCATATTTACGACTGAGCAGTTGGCGAAAGTGTTCATAAAATCTTCCGATTTCGAAATATGCGCATTTAGCCTATTGCGCATCAATATGTGATCATGTTTTTCAACTGAAGAAAGATCACTTCAACGTTCAGTGAAAGACAGATTACTTAATGCACTATGTTTTGAAACTTACCTTTCCCTGTTAGGCTATGGAAACCTTGACATCCTCAGTGAGATTATCTTGTCAATCGGATTCTTCTCAAAGAGGGACGGTGGGTAGTCTGGTGGTTCAGGCGTTCACTCTTCACGACGAAGGACCGGATTCGATTCCCCACATGGGTACAATGTGTGAAGCCCATTTCTGGTGTCCCCCGCCGTGATATTGTTGGAATATTGCTAAAAGCGGCGTAAAACTATACCCATTCACTCTTCTCTGGGGCGGTGGGGTAGCCTAACGGTCAAAACGTCCACTTGTCACGCTGAAGACCCGGGTTCGATTCCCCACATGGGTACAATGTGTGAAGACTTAAGTTTGTTTCGAGAAATCGGGGCCTGGTGTCCACCGCCGTGACATTGCTGGAATATTGCTTAAAGCAGCGTAAAACTATACTCATTCACTCACTCTTCTCTAAATATCTTGTGATATCCACACACACACACACACACACACACACACACACACACACACACACACACACACACACACACACACACACACACACACACACACACACACACACACACACACACACACACACACACACACACACACACACACACACACACAAGTTGGATATTGTACATTGGGGTGAAATTTGACCATTGGCGCTGTTGTTAGTTCACATGCACTTGAAAAAGTTTGAAGCATCCGAAACTTGAATAGCTCTAACCTGCTTCCCCCCAAAATACTGAGTTGCCATTTACCCTCCCAACCCCAGTTAAGGATCAGAGTTGTATTTGTCGATGTTCATCAGCTGTTGGAGATTGTGCGTCACGTGAGCGAGTGCCATCACGACGCAGGATATAATGGCAGCTCTGTAACTCTCCTCTCGTTTGACAACGTAATCACGCGATATACTGACTTTTATCGATAAAGATCGACAGCGCTAGCTGACTTAGCAGCAATGTGCGAAGTAGCCACCGGCCCGCTAGTCCGTGACTAGTAAAAATCCAGTCGGGCTAATAAATGTCCACAGTGAATTGTCATGGGGTCATTTTGTAAAATCTCTCCGACTTGTTAAGTTATAATACACTTTTAAGTCATACATGATTATGGCCTGATAAAATTGTTCATCATATCAGCAGCTTAATGATGAAAAATGTGTCTTCATTCAAACTTCCGGGCTAGTGAATTATTTTGTGGACTAGTAATTTTCAGACATAGATGACCCAACTGTCTCTTACGACAAGCATCAGGAAAGTGCTGAACCGGTATCTTTGATGTTTTGAAATTTAGAAAAAGTCTTCTTTTCCAAGGTAACGCTGCTGTTTCCAAATGTAGGTTATCTGTACGTGTGTGTGTGTGTGTGTGTGTGTGTGTGTGTGTGTGTGTGTGTGTGTGTGTGTGTGTGTGTGTGTGTGTGTGAGAGAGAGAGAGAGTGTGAGTGAGTGACAGTGTGTCTGTGTATATTGATGGATGGGTGTTGATGATTATCGTTTTCCATTCTCCAGATTCCAAGCATGAGTTCTGATGAAGAGGATTTACCTCCCCCGCGGAACTTCCTCTCACTCCGATCCATGATAAAGAGAGGAGAAGAAGAGGAAGCGTTTAAATATATGACAGACCACAACTTAACAGCGGACTCTTTTGCGCGGAGGGTGAAATCCGGAGAGCGGAATGATATATTTTGTCCAGTTTGCACAGCCGCTCAATCCGGACGACTCAACATAATGAAGACTTTAATTTCAATGGGATTTTCCTTTCAGAGTGCAAGTCCAACAGATCTTGTGTTACACATGGCGCCTGTACACTTGGCCTCATACGGCGGCCATCTTGCTGTTGTGAAATCCCTTATAGAAGAGTATGGAGTTGACGTCAATACTCGAGACGGGTACGACAACACCCCTGTCTACTGGGCCATCAATTCGCTGGACGCTAACCTTGACCTTGTCAAGTATCTCATAGGTGCTGGGGCGCCAGTAAATATGAAAAATGAGATTGATAAATCCTCCTTGCTCCAAACCAGTGTGAAATATGGAAATACGGACGTCTGTACTTATCTGTTGGCTCAAGGAGCTGACGTCACAGCACGTGATCACAACGGATGCACACCTCTGCACATAGCCTCTGTGTGGGGTGACGAGAGTTCAGCACGTGCATTGCTAGAAGCAGGAGCTGATGTGCATGCGCGTAACAAATCTCGCGAGACCCCGATTTTAGTCGCAGCGAAACACGGGATTTGGGCGCTGATGAAAATGTTGTATTCGCGCGGTGCCGATCCAAATGATAACGACACGGATGGGAACACAGGTCTTCATTATGCAGTTGTCAAACAGTCATACGAAACTGTTTATTACTTAACCGTACATCTTAATGTTGAATTCTACGTGGAAAGTGTGAAAAACGAAACACCATTTTGGTCTGCTGTGACGTCAGGCAATTTGGACATCGCTAGATTGTTAGTGGACTCAGGCCATAAGTCATACCTGCCCACTGGCGAGGATGGTGGCCTTGTGTTCTCTGTTGCTCACTTGGACCGTGGAAGCAAGGAGTCGTTGATGTCGTACGTAAAGGCGGCTGTGACAAACCCGCAGTCGCTGCAGGATCTGTGTACGTTCAGAGTTAGGCGATCCCTAGGGCTCCAGGTAGGCACAGCTGTTGAATCTCTGCCACTGCCTGGTATTGTCAGAGACGTTGTCAGACTGTGTCATATTTCCGGCACTGTTTGAACCGTATCCCTGGCACTGTGAGCCATATCCCAGACACTCCCTGAACTTTGTTGAAAAATGACCATATCCATGACACCCACCCACCAATATTCCAGCACAGTGGGGATACGCGACATTCTGAACCTTATTCCCCCCAAACACTCTCTGTGGCGTGTTTCCGACACTGTGCGCAGTATCACAGACAGTTGTCACCCCGGTACTGTGTGACCCGTACCCCGAACAGTCTCTGTGGCGTGTTTCCGACACTGTGCAGAGTATCACAGACAGTTGTCACCCCGGTACTGTGTGACCCGTACCCCGAACAGTCTCTGTGGCGTTTTTCCGACACTGTGCGCAGTATCACAGACAGTTATCACCCCGGTACTGTGATAACAGCATCCCCGAACACTGTCTGTGGCGTGTTTCCGACAGTGTGAACAGTATCACAGACAGTTGCCACCATGGTACTGTGTGAACAGTATCTCCGAACACTGTCTGTGGCGTGTTTCCGACACTGTGAACAGTATCACAGACAGTTGTCACCACGGTACTGTGTGAACAGTATCCCCGACACTCTCTGTGGCGTGTTTCCGACACTGTGCGCAGTATCACAGACAGTTGTCACCCCGGTAGTGTGTAAACAGTATCCCCGACACTCTCTGTGGCATATTTCCGACACTGTGAACAGTATCACAGACAGTTGTCACCACGGTACTGTGTGAACAGTATCCCCGACACTGTCTTTGGCGTGTTTCCGACACTGTGAACAGTATCACAGAGAGTTGTCACCACGGTACTGTGTGAACAGTATCCCCGACACTGTCTTTGGCGTGTTTCCGACACTGTGCGCAGTATCACAGACAGTCTTAGTTGTCACCCCGGTACTGTGTGAACAGTATCCTCGACACTGTCTGTGGCGTGTTTCCGACACTGTGAACAGTATCACAGACGGTTTTCACCCCGGTACTGTGTGAACAGTATCCCCGACACTGTCTGTGGCGTGTTTCCGACACTGTGAACAGTATCACAGACAGTTGTCACCCCGGTAGTGTGTAAAAAGTATCCCCGACACTGTCTGTGACGTGTTTCCGACACTGTGAACAGTATCACAGACAGTTGTCACCCCGATACTGTGTGAACAGTATCCCCGACACTGTCTGTGGCGTGTTTCCGACACTGTGAACATTATCACAGACAGTTGTCACCACAGTACTGTGTGAACAGTATCCCCGACACTGTCTGTGGCGTGTTTCCGACACTGTGCGCAGTATCACAGACAGTCTTAGTTGTCACCCCGGTACTCTGTGAACAGTATCCCCGACACTGTCTGTGGCGTGTTTCCGACACTGTGAACAGTATCACAGACGGTTTTCACCCCGGTACTGTGTGAACAGTATCCCCGACACTGTCTGTGGCGTGTTTCCGACACTGTGCGCAGTATCACAGACGGTTTTCACCCCGGTACTGTGTGAACAGTATCCCCGACACTGTCTGTGGCGTGTTTCCGACACTGTGCGCAGTATCACAGACAATTGTCACCCCGGTACTGTGTAAAAAGTATCCCCGACACCGTCTTAGGCGTGTTTCCGACACTGTGCGCAGTATCACCGACAGTTGTCACCCCGGTACTGTGTGAACAGTATCCCCGACACTGTCTGTTGCGTGTTTCCGACACTGTGAACAGTATCACAGACAGTTGTCAGCCCGGTACTGTGTGAACAGTATCCCCGACACTGTATGTGGCGTGTTTCCGACACTGTGCACAGTATCACAGACAGTTGTCACCCCGGTACTGTGTAAACAGTATCCACGACACTGTCTGAGTCACAAGGGTTTTGTGTGGATCATGCTCAGTGTCTCAGTCAGTGGACTGTGTTGTCCAGATTCCAATGTTTACAGATTGCCGCCAATGGCTGAAACATTGTAGAGCACGTCGATACAAACAAACACACACTAACCAACAAGTAAACAATCACTAACAAACAAACAAACGCATGCTGTTGGAGCCAATGTTTTTTATTTATAATATGTACACTGTCAGAGGCAATGCGGTCTATTTTGGTCATGCTACTTGTGGGAGAACTATTTGTATGTGGTTTGTACTGCTGTGGTTGTGTTGGTTTATAGCGGGAATATTGCTGAGTGCGGCATAAAACTAAACTCACTCACTTTGTTGGTTTACATTGTGTTAACACAGGTTTGTTGATCGAGTATATGATGAGGAGATGTCGAACAAACCAAACAATAAACGTTACCCAATAAATGCGAGAGATTGAGTGTTTAAATGCTTCAAAATAAACCACCCAATTACATGTGCCTGCAGATGGTAATACTTTCACGGCATGTTCACATTTACAGCTTGTTCTTCACTACAGGCAACGCCCTTGTGTTGGTGGAGTTTACTGAGGCCGTGAACCATCCCTGCATATTAAGTGTGTCGTTAAGCTTGTCTTAATCCTTATGGCTGTTCACACACGTATACCACTGAAACCCAGGTCTATAGACTCTGTTGACTGATATAACGCTAAACAAACCGAAACATGAGTCTCATTAACCAATGCAGACACGTCCTGGGCCTAGATTTTCGAAGCTCTCTTGGTGCTAAGATAGTCGTAAGTTATTGTTAATGTATGGCACTGACGACTATAGTATCCCGGGTATAGTCTCCCGGGTATACGTTCCGATAAATCTCCACTATACCCTGGATGCATCTATGGCTCGGCCCGATAATTTTATTACCTCCCTTTGCTGGCTCCGCATTCTCACAGTAGCCAATCAGATTAGCCGCCGTTACAACCGATCTTACCAGTGCCAACAAGAAGGTTTGTTCGCAGTGCGACTCAATAATTGGGGGAAATCATGCAGACAGATTGACAGGTCTGAAACCTTAAACAAATTATATGCAAGAAATCCTTCCACCTCTTTCCGAGTAACTCTGCAACGATTGTGTTGCAAAGTATAATCGTTGGATAAAAGAAGCGAAACGTTGTGATTGGTACTCGCAACTTCCCAGCGTAGACACCTGATAGGCTAAAAAGCCAGCCAAGGGAGGTAATAAAATCATCGGGCCGAGCCATAGATGCAAGGATATAGTGGACAAAATAACATGACAAAATCACGACTGAAACTTGGCAAAACTGTGTCAACAAGGTAGCTAACGTCGTTGAACAAGGTTACTGATCTCGGGATGGCTTACAACAGGCAACTGTGGCACCATTTGTCATCCCTTTAAGTCGTGACTATGACACTACGACAGACGAGGAACCGACAGGTCTCCCGGAATAGATTTTGAGATGTCCCCCGCCATGACTGGCTGTTCCGTTTCTGCGGTTTCACCCCGCCGCGACAGATAACAACTTTTGCGTTTTCAATGATGATAGTTTCTTGAAGAACTTTTTTGGTGGAGTCCGGAAAATTTTCAAATATAAGAAAGCTGTTGGGTTTTAGTAAATGATAAACATGTGTACTATTTATATATAAATGTGGCAGTTTTGTACAATGATAAAATCCGCAATTCATCGGTCCGTTTCTGACTCAAACGGACTGTAAGTTGCGCAATAGGATGGAACCCAGTCAGCGGGAAACGAGACTGTTGCGTAATCAATGTTTTGACCCAATCAATGTTTTGACTCTGTTCACCAAGGTCTAACGCTTAGGTGAAACCTTTATGTCAAACGGCGCTTTTCGTAAAGGTATAACGCCCAGGTGAAACCCCTGAGGTCAAACGACCCTGTTCACAAAGGTATAACGTTTAGGTGAAACCTCTGAGGTCAAACGACTATGCTCATAAACGTTTGCCAGTCGGGTGAAAACCTTGGTCAATGGGCGTACAGTGGTTGAAGCACTAGTTTAAACGCTGTCCACAAGGGCATATCATTTGGGTGACACTGTAACGACATTCAAACCGATTTACGACAATCCGGCCAGGTTTACGACTTAGAGTGAGCTCCCTTGTTTTTTGTGTGTGAGAAACTACGCGCGATTCACTGTGTGTTTTGAGATCAGATTTCCGTCCGTCCGTCACGGTATTTTTACGGACTTTTCCGCCATGTAATGAGTTCTGTATTAATAAGTGAATAAACATCGTGTTATCAGAGAATTTCCGTTTGATTGTTGATTATGGATCAGCTACAGAAACCATCAGGTCGAACAACGTTTTTCACAAACGTGCACCAACTCAGTGAAACCAGTCAGGTCAACTGGCGCTCACAAACGTGTACCACCTGAGTGAAACCAACAGGTCTGCCGTTAAAATATGATTCTTGTTGGTCCCTGCTTGACACTCGGCATTAATGGGTAAAACAAGGACTGGTCGGCTCGGAGTCAGTATAATGTGTCTGGGTGGGGTATTCGTGCTTCACTGCGGCATGGTATCTCAATAAGTCTGGGCTAGTACCAGCAGACACACATGCACACGCATGCACGTCGTCATATTAGGGAATTATTCTTAATCCTGTCCTCCACCGAGTCAGGGGCGCAACCCACGGCAAACAGGTTGTCCAGTTTAGTTGCCTTTAACGACCAGCAATGAGGTACCGAGGACCTATTCACGGGAATATTTGGGCATTAACTCATCGTTCGAATCGCGTTTGATCCCGTGACAACACGTACATCTGATGCAGGGCCTCGTGACAATGTCCACCATCAGTGTAGGACACATTGTCTTTATATGCACCATCAATTACAGTTCCCATGACAACACTCACTGTAAAAGTTACGTTTAAATATACTATTCGCACTTTGCTAAGGATAAAATCATGGATTCAACAGAAAACTAGTATGTTGGTCAAAGCTTATTGTAAGCATGGATCCTAGGTTTCAGTATGTCATTGCATCTTTTGGATCCCATACCTGCTATTGACATGAGTTGTTTATTTGTCAATGACTCGTTCCATGATTTGCAAAGTGGTTGATTGGTGCCATGAAAACCATTTTCATGGTTCCTCATGTATCAGGTGCATAAGGTTAGATTAAAGTGACTGTTTGCCTAAAGAGGGTTACCATATTATTATTTACCCAGTTGTAAATGGATACAATTTCAAATTATAAATCTACGTTTAAGTAAAGTTGTGAATTTTTGTGATCCCTAGCAAAGTGTGAGTAGTATATATCCCTTCATGGCTGTCACAGTGACAATATTTACTGACAGGGACTTTAATAAAGACACTGGACTCTGACACTTAGATTGTCAGACATGTTAGAAAAGTCGCAAAATGTGGTCATTTTCTTATAACCTTATGATTAATTCTTTGAATACGTATGTTCGGTATCTATATTTCAGGAGAAATCCATGAAGATCCGGGTTAGAATTGATCTTCAGTAACCCATGCTTGTCGTAAGAGGCAACTAACGGGATCGGGTGGTCAGACTCGCAGACTTGGCTGACACATGTCATCGGTTCCCAATTGTGTAGATCGATGCCCATGCTGTTGATCACTGGATTGTCTGGTCCAGATTCGATT